AGTATGATTTTTTATGTCATTAGGGTACATCTTTATACTTCTAAAATACATGTATATATATATATATATATATATATATATATATATATATATATATATATATATATATATATATATATATATATATATATATATATTAGGGATGTCAATTTTGTCAAAAATTCATATTCGAATATTCAATGAAAGTATTCGAATATATTCGAATATTCGATAACATAAATAAATCTGGTGTATTTTAAATATGCATCATCCTACTCCCATGAAAGGTTTAGCGTTGGTATTCTTATATTGGAAGTAAAATTGTGTGAAGGCTTTTGTAGGTGTAAAATTAGGAATTCCATTTGATATTTGTCAATGATTGAAATAAATAATTGATTTAAATGTCGAAAAATATGATTTTAACAAATTTAATAATTTAATAAATTTATAGTAGCTCTAACTGAGGAACTAGTCTTCTTACCAAAGGCAGGATTGTCGTATACTGTTTAGTTTTCAATACGTGTTATTAATTACAATTATTGGCCTGATAAGAGATATGATTATAATCTTTAAAAGAATATTTTTAAAATATAAACAGAAATATTTCCATGGACAATTTTCCTAGGCAATCAATTAATTTACCGATATTGAATATAAAATTCAGGATTATGTACAACCCGAGATAATCAAGTAATTTACACATTTATTCTGAAATTAAGCCCTTTACAATATCAATTACAGACGAATTCTATCAGACACTCATTCAATGATCAATTGAATTTATTTTGATTAGTATACTCTTCACGTCTTTTAGACATTCCAAGAAGGTTTTCGTTTATTCAAAATTTATTAATCACAGTACTTCTTTTTATGAAATCTGTAAAACACCGAATATTCGAATCTTAAATTTATATTCGAATATCAACTCATCGAATGAATATTCGAATGTTCGAATATTCGTTGACATCCCTAATATATATATATATATATATATGGCTTCCAGCTGATATTAATATAAACAGTTATGTGGTAAACAAATTTTAGACTATTTCAAGAGAATTATTTTTTTTACATAGGCTTTATTTTACAAACTCTATATATGTCTATGATTACATTAACCATAAACTGTATTGTGATAAGCATATATTATCTCTCAGCTTATTGTGCCAAATGTGAGTCTTATCCAATAGTATTTAAAAATATTTCATATTTAATAAAACATTCATTCCATATATTATTAAAGTTAATTTTCCTGTGATGAGGCATTTAGCATTTATACATATCATATCCTTTTTCAATGGTCGATGAAATTCATCACTCACAAATATTTATCCATTCAACTCAAAATGCTTTTGAAAAAGTTCATTAAGATTATCAGAATTTCATCTGTTTATTCACTCCTCGTATTTTTCACTTGTTCATTTAAATAAGAATTAATCTCATCTTTTCACAGGTTCTAATTTAAGAGCTTGATTTACTTTATGCTATTTTATCACTGTATATCAAATTTCATACATCAGTATAAGGTAAAGATGTCATGCTTTCATTACATATCAAAAAGAGTTTAATATTGGGAAATAATCTTTGTGAAATTATATTGTTCCTGAATTTTACATTTGAGTACATTCAAAAAAAAAATTAAGATTAAAAAAAAATGAAATGTATATTATACCTTAGTAACAGTTCCATCAATATGCACTGATTTTTTTGGATCAAAGGTGTCCTCTTTCCCAAAGATTAAAAAAACAGTTTGAAATTTTGGTCATTTTGGAAGTGATTTTCATGCAATTTGAAGATTGGTGCAGTTCTTGACACCATATGAGGTAGACAATCCAGAAAATTAGTCATTTTTTATAAATGATTTTATGGTCAGCAAAATTCCCATTGATATTTAACACAGTGTCCAATAAAATTGTGATTTTTTTTTTATTCTTGGTGTTTTACAGGGCAAAATAAGGCCCCTAGTGAAATTTGCCCTTATACATGTACCTAAAATCTGTCATTAGAACCTGAAAAAAACTTTATAACAAAAATCTAGTTCACATGATAAATTATTTTTTTATATAGAGATATTATGCTTTACACAATTGTTCATATTTTTCTTGTTAGTTGTTTATGACATACAGATTAAAAACAACAAAAAAAACTTTGGTATTTTGTTTTCTTTCAGTAGCTAGTACAGTGTAGTTTGTTACAAAGAAACTAATGCATGTATGGATTTTGTATTGATTTGAACCTGAAAACTCATATATAGATGATGTTTATAGAAAAAAATGCTCCCCCTTTTCCCCAGCTGAATCCAAGGCAGTGACCTGATGATCTTGACCTGATGATCTTGATGTCATAACTTTAATACAAATGCATAAGGTGGACAAATTTTAGCAAATAATTTTACTAAATTTTGGGCCGTTGGTACATTTTGTTGCCCTGTAATATTGTCAGTGACAACACATGCGCCAAGACAAGCTTTTTACCCCCTTTAGTATGGGCGACAAAATGTACCAATCATATTATTCAATTCATTAGAATTATGTCTCATACCCTTCGTATCATCCTAAAGAGCCCTTTACAGATAGAGATTATTGAGAGAACTATTGGAACTTGTCCTCTCAGCGATCTCTGAAAGCCTTGAAATGTTTCTGTGCAAATCTTTAGGGAGATCATAAAGCGCTTGTTGTGCGATGAAATAATGCCACAACAATCTCTTACAGATCTCACAACAGTTTCCAAGAGCTCCCCAAGATCTCTCAAGCAGATGTCTTCAGTAGGTCTCTGATGCTATCTCCAGTAGCCTCAGCTAGACTCTCTGCGATCCCCAATACTCACTCTGCCTTTAGGTGTTTAACACATTTTGCTTTCTGTTAAAGACCTCAGGGAGATCTTTGTGAGATCTGAGAGATCGTTGGTCGTTCTTCTGACAATCCTTGGTGTCACGTCGTCTGAGAGACTGCTTACCTTTGCCATTGTTGGAAGACTGATTTGGGTAGAGCCATAACTTCGAAGATATCACGGAGACTATTGAGACCTCTGGTAGATCTGGTAGATCACTTGATGGATCAAGACAATATGTGGGCGATTGTTGAAAAGTCGTTGGGAGATTTGGTCAAATTTGCAACGCTCGGCAATCTCTCAACGGTCACCACCTCTATGTAAAGAGGTTTTAGCAACACTAGTCTTTTTCACCAGCTGTGAAAGATTTCACAAACGGATGCACATTTGGATCGTGATTTTCTCTTTTCATTATAACCAATCACTTTCCAATACGGATAGTTACTTAAATACATGTATGTTGTTTCTTAAATTTTTGTTCCCTTTCAGAATCATGTATTTCATTTATTCCTATATATTCTTTTTTACTCAGCAAACTAGTCATTAAGTCGTAATGTCATTTTAGTAGACCCTATCTCATTTTACGATAATTCGCAAATACATGTTCTGCATCATTTCTCTTTTGAGGGAATGTTAATTAGTTTTTTTCAATGAATATGATGCGATGTGACGATGTTCATCTATATGTATTAGGCCATCTTTAAAAAATTGATTGGTTTCCCTCTCCCGGCCAACGGGCTAAAAATGGTCCGACTCAAAACTTCTTTTAACCTTGAGGAAGCAATTATTTTTTGTGCATTTTGAAAAATAGACTTTGAAAATTGAAAATTTCGGGGGGGGGGGGGGGGAATTCCCACCTACCTACCGACCCAATTTTTTCATCCTGACTCGGGAGAGGGCAAACAAACATATTTTAAAGTTGGCCTTTTAATCATTTTATAACGGATCAATCAACACACAAAATATATATATTTCTATGGTGATTTTGTTGTTAATTTAACAGTCCACAACAAAATACTGGTAAATTTGATATCATTACCAGATTTAATGTATTGCAAATCACCTTTTATTTTCGCGTAATTTCGCGATCGGGGTAGTCTGCTCGCGATAATTTCATTCTCGCGTATAATTGTATTGAACAAAAACCAGAAATCGTGAAAATTTAGTCTTGCTTATAAATGCAATATAACTATCCCGCGACAATAAAGATCGCAAAAATATGGTGATTTACAGCTATTCTGAACTACAGAGGTTCGTATTTGAAAAAAAAAATGGATGAAAAATCGTCCATTTGGTGCAAATCTGCATTCAATATTTACGTTTGGATGCATTCAGTAAAATGAATGAAGCATAACTCTATGAAAACCATTCCTTGAAGAGATTTTGTAAACAGTTTGCAGACCGTGTTGCTCTATTGATAGTATCGATTTGATACATTTTCTTGAACAACTAAAATAAAGATTAAAACTTCAGTCAAAACCATACTCTGATAGTTTTAATGCTCCAGGTGAGCAAGTTGGCCATTTGCCTGTCGTTCTCTGTTTTCCCGTATGGTCCTAGATCAGGTCACCTGTGGTCTTAGGTTAAGATTTCCTTCCATGTCAAATTGCACTACTTTCGTGACCGTTTACAGAGATAACACATGATGATATTCATGTTATAAATAATTTTCCGTCAAGTACTAAAAAGAACATTGTTCTTTGTATCATTTTATCTTCCCTTTGCCTTTTAATTGAAAAAAAATCTTTCGATAGTCGGCACAAGTAACTGGGTATAGATATAATATTATGAAGACAGGAACCGCCCAAATCCTAGTTGAAGCCGAATCTTCAAACACTGTATTTGCTTATAAGGTACGATTTGCTAAAGAAAAATCCAGATGAAAAACGCTTTGTATATCTACTTTTAGGTTATGTAAGTACTCTTCCCTTTCCAGTACCTATCATCAGTGTATTTATGAACTAATTTTTGAATGATTTAACTGGAAGGATGTAAATATTGTCATTAAAAATTTAAGATAACACGAAAGATAATCGTTCCTTAAAGTCCTTTTTCATTAATTAAAGCGTGCGTGAGTACTGAACTTCACCTGACATGCTGATATGTAGTAGTACATGTATATATTTCGGTACTTTCATTATCTATAAACATGAAGCAACTGATAAAATTCCATTTGATCAAAGATAAGGACAGTTTGTTCCATCGACTTGTTCCTGCTATGAAATCGATCAGCTTCTGCTGCCTCTTTCTCGTGACGTCATCTTTTGCTTCCGTTGAAAAACGGAACACCGTCTGCTACCAAACATTCGGCTGCTTCTCTTCAGATGGTCTTCTCAAAGCTCCCCAAAGCCCCTCAGTTGTAAATACGTACTATAGACTGTATGTGCGAGGACATTCATCCCATATTAATGAAATTGGAGGTATGATACTGTTATTGTGGACTTTTTAATGTAATAGTCATTTTGTTCGTAAAGTTTGCATCCAATATACCAGCATCTTTGCCTTGCCGAACTAAAAACTAACAGTATAACAGTCATATGTATCAAATGAGTTTTGAATTGTACATGTCTCCATGATTTTACCGTTGTATTAAAATTCCCTCCTGATTGATGGCTTTTCTTTAAGGACCTTCTTGGCAGTCTGAGGTAACCCCCTTTACTCAACATGTCAGCGCGACCAGAAAAACGAAGGTTCTTATACACGGCTTTCTTGACAATGGAAGGTCACAATGGGTCATGCGTGCAAAAGATGAGTTATTAAAAAAGGTAAAAAAAAAATCTAACAGTCTTTTAGCCCAATAGAATTGTTCGTCAATCAGAACACTGCCTTACCCTTGTTTCCACTGTGGTCGCTGTCTTTTCATGTAGAACTTAGGTTCTACTGGGGGCAACCATTGCGGCATCTCGGGACTTTCGACGAGTTGAAAAACAACACGTTCTTCTTAGCTGTGCGACCGTCAGGCAAATTAACAAACGTTATTCTTGTTCAAATTCAGGGGGACTTTAACGTTATCACCGTAGACTGGGGTACGGGGGCAAAGTGGCCTTATGAACAAGCAGCAGGCAATGGGTACTTGGTTGCAGCCGAGGTGGCGTCCCTCTTTTCGTACCTTCACGATCATGCCCATATTAATTTTGCTGATGTCCACATCATTGGTCATAGTCTTGGTGCCCAGATTGCTGGCTTAGCTGGTCAAAGAATCAATAAAATTGGGCGAATCACAGGTTTGTTCAGTTATAATTAATATCAGTATTATTGTCAAGGTGTGATATTTCATTAAGCAACACGTGGTCTCGTTAAATATACAGTTTTTTAACCTGGTTGATAATTTTCTTTTCCTCCATGTGGAATCATTATTCGTTTCAACTAACTGACCAACATGTGGAATCATTATTCGTTTCAACTAACTGACCAAATAGTGAAGTTCTAAGAAACTATACACATTTTAGTAATGCTATATATTAAGGGTCTAAGAAACTATACACATTTTAGTAATGCTATATATTAAGGGTTTAATTTCCTTCATGAAATCAAAGAGCTACGTCGTAGACATAATCGTGGATTGTAATAAAAATGCTAATTTCACAATTAAATGTTACAACACATTTAATCGTTCTATCTCTTTTCACCTTCATCCATTTTATTGCATACAATGCATGTACAGACAATAGTCACTTAAATTCACATTATCGCTATTTTTGGACTATAGGTCTTGATCCTGCGGACCCTCTGTATTCTGGCAAACCTATGGACCGCCATCTTGACCCAAATGATGCAACTTTTGTCGATGTCATCCATACCGATTCTTCAAATTTTGCATACACACAAGGCAAGACAATTTTGTTGCAGTTTGTTTTCTTTTACCCAGATCCCCATGGTAAAGCTCATTAAATAGCGCCATGTCTTTGACCATGCACCAGTTCAGTTTCTTCGATAAAATGCAATTTTGCAGGATTTGGGACACACGATATTGAAGGAGACGTCGACTTTTTCCCCAACGGCGGTGAACATCAACCAGGCTGCCCCGAAGATCCGGGTCACAATGCTCTGTATACCCTGCTCCATGGTGGTTTAGGTAATCTACCTATAGATACCCGTACAAGCCTCTAATGCTCACTTCTTTCTGAATCCTTTACAATGGATCTTGACATTGAATCACTACTTCTTAGAGATTGACTATCTCTTCAGTTGTCAATACAGTTTGTAATCAATCTATAAACGTGCATGTATATATTGCCTTGCTCTTTAATTTACAGATACCAGGTCATTCTTAGCACATAATCTTTGCAGTTGTTAAAATGCAACTATTCAAACAAAATGGTGATATATCACAGCGCGAGGATCTCTCACCCATTCGATATCATGCAGTCATAGTAGGGCAACCGAGTACTTCATCGAATCCATCAAATCACACTGCAAGTTCTTTGCACACAAATGTTCAAACATAACGAACTTTGATGAAGGCAAGTGTATGGGGTGTCCTGACGGAGGCTGTGCTGTGATGGGATACGATGCAGACGACACTTCACTTCGTGGCGCCTTTTATTTGAGCACCTCCACTCAAGCACCTTATTGTGGTACGTCGTGTTCCTGTAACAATCCCCAATTTCGAAATGAGCCGTCTTTCATGTGCACATTCTGAAGAAAAAAAAAGGATTCTTTTCAATATTTTGTTTTTTCCTTAGGTTACGAATATTATGTAGAAATAGTAATTTCTCATTCGATGCATGGTCATTCTTATGGAGAGTTCTTTGTGAGACTACAAGGAACGAAAGGAGAAAGCGAGGAACTGAAATTCTCAAGGTAAGGAAAGGAAACAGCTTATATGAGACCTTTAATACCATTTCTCATCATTATAATTAGCCGTATAAATAAAAAAAATCAGTTCCCCAAGCTGGCAATTTGCTTTTGGAAGAACGTATTTTTATGCCCCGCCATGAATATGGCCGTGGCATATATTGTTTGTCTTGTTCGTCTTCCGTCCTTCCGTCTGTCCTTCCGTTGCGCTTTGCGTTTAGCTCAGTTCAAAGCTCAGTTTCAAAGAAACTATCCAAGATATTTTCATCAAACTTCATATTCTGATAGATATTGATGAGAGCTATGCAACTGCATCAATATTTTTTTTACCTTGACTATTCCTTTGACCTTGACCTCACTTTTCTTAAATTAGTGTTTAGCTCAGTTTTAAAGAAACCATTCAAGATATTTTTATCAAACTTCATGTACTGATACATACTGATGAGAGCTATTCAATTGCGTCAACATTTTTTTTTACCTTGATCTTTCCTTTGACCTTGACCTCACTTTTCTTAAATTGGTGTTTAGCTCAGTTTTAAAGAAACCATTTAGGATAGTGTTATCAAACTTCATATGCTGATACATACTTAAAGAGCTATTCAACTGCATCAACATTTTTGATCTTGACCTTTCATTTGAACTTGACCTCACTTTTATCAACTTGTGTTTAACTCAATTTTAAAGAAACCATTCATAATATTTTTATCAAGCTTCATAAGCTAATACATACTGATGTAAGCTTTACAACTGCATCAACATTTTTGACCTTGACCTTTCCTTTGACCTTAACTTCATTTATCTTCAATTAGTGTTTAGCTCAGTTTTAAATAAACCATTCAAAATATTTTTATCAAACTTAATATGCTGATACATATTTGTGTGAACTATTCAACTGCATCAAAAATTTCAACCTTGAACTTTCCTGTGACCTTGATCTCACTTTTCTTAAATTTGCATTTTGCTTAGTTTTAAAGAATTCATTTAAGATATATTTATGTAAGCTTATGCACTTGTACATAATTTTGTGAGAATTTATCATCTATATCCAACTTCTTAGATTTCAATTTTAAAGAAACTATTCAAGATATTCTCATCAAATTTCATACACTTATACAAATTTTCATGTTGCATTACTAATACTAGTATACCCTTGGCGGGGCATTCATGTCCTGTGGACATATTTCTAGTTTTTTTTTTATATTCCTACTTATGTATCGTATATTTTCAACACTACCCCAAACAGGAAAATGCAGTACTACATAACCGACTCGGCAGAGAGACACGTACTTGTCACACATACAGATATTGGTAATGTCACCGGTATCAAGGTCAAATTCGTACGTGGAGACGGTGTCAAGGCCACTGGCTCCCAACATGAAGTGATAGTACGATACGTTACCGTGGAACCGACGGAAAATGCAGACGGGTATGTTTTCAATTGATTTCATGAACTCTGAGTATTGGATAGTGATGTTGGCAATATCTTTATGCTGTTATAAGACAGAGTCATTAGATCTTTCTTGGTTCTCTTGTAACGTCAACAAAGATGGTCGTATGGTATGTAGTGTTCAACTTCTAATTGAAATTTTCGTTACAAATTTTGTAGCAAAGTCAAGTTATGTGGACATGATGCCCATATACATGAAAACCACGTGGCAGCCCTGCACTCCACCTCAGGTTGCTAGGAACCTCAATGACAGACATTTACAATGGGTGATTGGATGTAATTTACGATGTAAAATGACCACAGTATTCGTTTTAAGAGAATTAAAAGTTGTTTTGAAATGCCATGGATTTCATTATGTATCGTCCGATATATCGTGTTATGCCTAAGCATTGATACCATATTCGAATCAACACCGGCTAATAATATAGTGTTTTATTAATCAAAATATATTAGTAATATGAATAGTCAATGTCTAGTGCATGTACATGTATATGTTGTAATGTATATGTTGTTTATATGCAAACCTAAAAATGCCAGAACATTAATGAGTATCCTATAATGTGAAGAGAAGTTGATAAGAAATATGTAGGTTTTTGTTTTTGTGGGGGTTTTTTGTTGTTGTTGTTGTTGATTTTTTTTCTTAGCGTTCTCTTACTAATAGACTTTGTAAGATGCCCTGAGCATGACATAATGTTGCTGTGAGTAGTGTGATATTCTTCGATGGCCACCCTGGCATTCCATCAACTGAGCCACTCGTAGATTTTGTTACCGATCTTAGCATCTCTGCCGACATGTCCTGGACTTGTCCGGAAACGTATTTCTGTTGTATAGTTGTTGTGTAATTATCAACAAACAAAATTATTTTTATTGTCTCTAAGGTCCTGGGCTTTGTAAGAAAGTTACGTATTCAGGCTTTATATATTCAAATTTGTGGACTTTACTGTGGTGGACGTAAACATTAAATACAACAATCGGAAAATCACAACAGTTGAAAACAATCAGGAAATGACAACAGTCAACATCAGTCAGAACATGACAACAGTCGACAACAATCAGAACATGACAACAGTCGACAACAAACGGATCATGACAACAGTCGACAACAAACAGATCATGACAACAGTCGACAACAAACGGATCATGACAACAGTCAACAACAAACAGAACATGACAACAGTCGACAACAATCAGAACATGACAACAGTCGACAACAAACATCATGACAACAGTCGACAACAATCAGAACATGACAACAGTTGACAACAAACAGAACATGACAACAGTCAATAACAATCAGAACATGACAACAGTCGACAACAAGCAGACCATGGCAACAGTTGACACAATCAAGACATGACAGCAGTCGACAACAATATATGACAAGCGTTAACAACAATCAAAACATGACAACAGTTTACAACAATCACATCATGACAACAGTCAACAACAATCAAAATATGATGACAGCCAACAACAAACAGATCGTGACAACAGTCGACAACAAGCAGATCATAACAACAGTTGACAACACTCAAGACATAACAGCAGTCGACAACAATATATGATATCCGTTGACAACAATCAAAACATGACAATGGTCAACAACTATTAAACCATGATGACAGCTGACAACAAACAGATCATGATGACAGCTATCAACAAACAGATCATGACAACAGTCAACAACAATCAGAACATGACAACAGTCGACAACAAACAGAACATGACAACAGTTGACAACAATCAGAACATGACAACATGCAGATCATGACAACAGTCGACAACAAACAGATAATGACAACAATCGACTACAAACAGAACATGACAACAGTCGACAACAAACGGATCATGACAACAGTCAACAACAAACGGAACATGACAACAGTCGACAACAATCAGAACATGACAACAGTCGACAACAAACATCATGACAACAGTCGACAACAATCAGAACATGACAACAGTTGACAACAAACAGAACATGACAACAGTCAATAACAATCAGAACATGACAACAGTCGACAACAAGCAGACCATGGCAACAGTTGACACAATCAAGACATGACAGCAGTCGACAACAATATATGACAAGCGTTAACAACAATCAAAACATGACAACAGTTTACAACAATCACATCATGACAACAGTCAACAACAATCAAAATATGATGACAGCCAACAACAAACAGATCGTGACAACAGTCGACAACAAGCAGATCATAACAACAGTTGACAACACTCAAGACATAACAGCAGTCGACAACAATATATGATATCCGTTGGCAACAATCAAAACATGACAATGGTCAACAACTATTAAACCATGATGACAGCTGACAACAAACAGATCATGATGACAGCTATCAACAAACAGATCATGACAACAGTCAACAACAATCAGAACATGACAACAGTCGACAACAAACAGAACATGACAACAGTTGACAACAATCAGAACATGACAACAGCCGACAACATGCAGATCATGACAACAGTCGACAACAAACAGATAATGACAACAATCGACTACAAACAGAACATGACAACAGTTGACAACAATCAGAACATGACAACAGCCGACAGCAATCAGAACATGACAACAGTCAACAATCAGAACATGACAACAGTCAACAATCAGAACATGACAACAGTCGACAACAAACATCATGACAACAGTCGACAACAATCAGAACATGACAACAGTCGACAACAATCAGAACATGACAACAGTCGACAACAAACATCATGACAACAGTCGACAACAATCAGAACATGACAACAGTTGACAACAAACAGAACATGAAAACAGTCAAAAACAATCAGAACATGACCACAGTCAACAACAATCAGAACATGAGAACAGTCGACAACAATATATGATATCCATTGACAACAATCAAAACATGACAACGGTCAACAGCAATCAAACCATGATGACAGCTGACAACAAACAGATCATGATGACAGCTATCAACAAACAGATCATGACAACAGTCAACAACAATCAAAACATGACAACAGTTGACAACAGTTGGAACGTGACAACTGTCAACAATGTGAAACAAATAATCTTGTGAAATCTAGAAACCGAAATTCGGAAACTCAGCAAGAATATAGAAGTTGCCCTATTTTGGGATGAATGCTGTTTCTTTTTCTCTCTTTCTCTTCAGAATACTCATAAAATTTGGTCGGCCAAATCTATTAATTCTCATCTGTAGTGATTTTGACTAATTGATCATATACTCTATATCTCTATGAAACTGTATTTGTATTTTTTTTTTCTATAAATCCGATTTATTCATATAACGTTTAATTTGAAATGAAACTAAGAAAATTATTTAACATAAAGTGATTGCATCCCTCACACATATGAACAAATTATTGCAAAAGAGTACTCGGCCGGTATTCCGGTATAATGTCAAATGTTCATACAAGGTTCGTACTCTTGAAAATGCCAGATGCCCTTATACACATATTCTTATCCTCAGCAAAGTCCTTCAAGTTATCTTGTCATCTTTGCATAAATAAGATTATAGATTATAGAATACTAGCAGCCAAAATTTGAAGTGAATGTTCTAAATAACCCCAATGAACTATTTAGGCGATCCCAGACATTTATCAAGCATAGTAAATGTACTTTGAGATAAAACAGTGATTTCGTACCTGTATATATAGAACTGTCCCAGATGGTGAACTACTATGAAGGTTCCTGTTCTTTTATTATCGTGCCTCTTGGTTTTTGCTTCCACTTTTGCTTCGGTGGAGAAGCGGAGCTTCGTCTGCTACATTCCGTACGGCTGCTTCCACTCAGAGGGAAATCTTAAGACTCCGCAGAAACCGTCCATAGTCAACACTCGCTTCCGTCTGTACCAGAGAGCGCATGCATTTCATGTAGCCGAGACAGGAGGTACGCGATTATAGTTTTAGTTCTTTACTGAAGATCTTATTTGTAATAAAGAACATAACATCATTAATCTTCGTTTAAAAGGAGAGATATTTGCTCCTGACATTGCTCCCTTCACACATCATGTCAATGCAACCAAGAAAACCAAGATTCTTGTTCACGGCTTTTTGAACAGTGGAAGAACGGATTGGGTCATGAGAGCAAAGGACGAATTGTTAGTAAAGGTAATACATCCGCCTAAATGGTCCTTCTTATTTTTGTCCCCCGCTTTCACTGAAAGTGGGGGATATTAATTTGGGTCTGTCTGTCCGGCCGTCCGGCCGTCTGTATTTCGATCTGTCTGACTGTAACGCTTTCGTTTCCGCGCGATATCTCGAGAACCCTTTGAGCTTTGAAATTTTGCATAGCAACTCCCTGTGGCCTAAAGAAGAACCCTATTGATTTTGAGGTCAAAAAGTCAAAGGTCAAGGTCATAAATTCAGAAATTTTATCTGTTTTAACACTTTCGTTCCGCGCGATATCTCAAGATTCCTTTGAGCTTTTGCAATGAAATTTTACGTAACAACTCCCTGTGGCCTAAGAAAGACACCTATTGATTTTGAGGTCAAAAGGTCAAAGTTCAAGGTCGTAAATTCATACATTCCGTCTGTGTGTAACACTTTCGTTTCCGGGCGATATCTCAAGAAGCTTTTGAGCTTTTGCAATGAAATTTTATACCATAACTCAATCAATCAGTTTATTCACTCAAACCATACAACATGGTACATGAGGGACATAAAGTATAAATCATATCTATTAAATCGTCAGAGGTACATACAACATATATATACATAAATAAATATTTTACAACTGCATGTAAAAGAATAGATATATAGTATTAACAGAATGTATGTTCAATCCTGCAAAGAAAAACACCAGGAGGACAATTAAGGGGAACAGACAGTCTCGAAGATTTTTGAGGTTGTCGGCGGACTTTATATTCTAATTACATCTACATGTATAGAACTGTTTAGTAAAGGCTAAATAAGACACCATGTATTGTGTAAAATTTTGACAATAATGTGAATATAAACATTATACGTGACCTAATGTTTGCATTTAATTTGCTGTAAAATCAAGTGCCTCCGTGGTCTAGGGGTATGATTCTTGCTTATCAAGTGAGAGGTAACGATGTAACGACGAAAAGTGACCCCTGTAGAATATTGACCAGAGGGTCAAATTTCTACTAAGAAAAATGATCCTGGTCAATATTCCACGACAAGTTGGGTCATTTCAAACCCTTCCAGGCCGGTATTTCTACGACTCCTCTCACGCTGAAAAATGACCCCCATAGAAATCTGACCCCCTACTTTTTCACAATATTATATAATAAAACCTGTTAAAAAACCTTTAGAAATGAGATATGATACGCGGTAATTTTTCCCCAAGAAAATTTCAACATACATGTGGACGGGTGAGAAAAGAAAAAAATATTTTGTTTTCTGGAGGTAAAAAAAATTGAGTCGGGCCATTTTAGCCAGTCGGTCGGGAGAGGGTAAAACATTTTTTTAAAGATGGCCTTGGCTTGTCTACAAATCATGCACTGCAGTTATAGAATTTCTAACATGTTTTCTGCCTCCTCCCCCAGTCCTTTTCATAATTTAAAGAGGAATGCCACATCAAAATTTTATTTAATAGATCTTTAAGACATCCCTTTTAAACTATGGTTGTAGCACTGAAAGACTGATATTAGCTCTTAATTATTTAATACGATTTTGGGGTATTTTCTCTGAGAAAATGAAAAAAAAATTATTTGCAAAGATGCATATTAAAAAAGATCAAATTTGTTGTAAATCGGAAAACTCTTTCACTCGATCATGTACACAACCTTTCTTAGACCCCAATTAGAATATGCTTCCTTGGTGTGGGGTGGATGTAATGTAGGCGATAGCACAAAATTAGCTCTTAACTCTATTAGCTTCTAAAGATGCAGTATACTTTGAAACTGGATGGGAACCATTACATGAAAGAAGAAAAAATACCAGATTAACTACAATAACCAAGTTCCTGAATATCTAACTGATTATAACATACCTAAATGCAGATTGCAAACATATAAGTCATATCTTTCATCCCCCTTGTTATTGAAGAATTGAACTCATTACCTCTTATTGTAAGAAATTCTTCCTCATTGTCTATCTTTAAAAAGTCCATTTCTTACAGTAAACCTAAGCCACCCTCTTATTTCAGTTACGGGATTCGACGCTTAAATATATTACATACAACAACTTCGACACTACTGTGTGCTTAATAGCTATTTTTTTTTTTGATGTAATGTAATTTTGAGCCCCCTATGTTCTTGTGGAAGAGTGTAGGTTACTCATCATTATTTCTTTTCATGCAAAAAATATACAGAGGCCAGAAAAGAATTTTTGACTCATTTCTGCAAATGGGAAAATTACATACTGTTGATACTCAGACTTTACTGTGGGGAGATCGAACGTTTATAAACTATGTTGAAAATGAATACCTATTTTCTATTGTACAAACTTTTATTAAAAAGTCAGGTTGTTTTGGTTGATACAATTATTAATTTTTACGAATTCTATACAGCTTGTGTATTATATAAGAAATATATTAAATTGAATATTGTTCCTCTGATTATTATGTTTTTCTGTGTTTATTTATGTCAAACCCATATATGTAAATATGTTTGGTATAATTTATATGTAGGGAAAGAGCGTAATAATTTGCCCAATCCCATTTGTAAAGTTAATAGACAATAAAATATATTCAAATCAAAGATGCTTTATGGCTTAAAATTTGCTATTAATAAATGCATAATATGAATGTCTAATAAAATGTGTAAAGAGAGGTTGGACAGACATTTTAATTTTTTAAATTAAATATTATTTATGAATATAAAACACAAAATTTGTAAATATTTTTTGTACCTATGGATAAAATCTTCATAAAACTAGTCACAACTAGGGAGAATATTTTAGTCAATCATATTTTTGAAAGAAATTGAAATGAAATTGCTAAAGAAGCTAAGGGGATAACCCGAGCCATATGCCTACATAACGATCGATAAAAAATCAATAAATTCATTTTACAAAAATTTCACTTTTTGTTGTATTAATGTAATGCTTATTATCATTTGCATACAAATTTGACAAAACCTGAATACTGTAACAGCGAAAATGATTCTGATTAACACAACAAAATGGCATCACGTTCAATTTTCACAAAAACTGACATAAATTGGATGATATAACTACATTTTTTAAATAGAGTGGGTCATCGTACCATTTTTTTTTGAGAACGATTAATGAAAGGCAAAGGAAAGATGTTGTTTTTTACACTTGCAAAAATTTGGTATGAAGACCCACTCTACATAAAAAATTAAGTTAACTTACTTAAATTTTCACTCTGGTATTAAAAAATTCTAAGTCCAAATACGCTTGCTAAATATAGAGAACTGTATGCTATTTAAATGGGTATCTATGTGTGACTCCGTGGTCTAGTGGTTAGCCAAGTGCTATTAAAGGGCCCGTTTATTGAGGAAAGTGTTCGAATCATGCTCTGATTTTTTGATTTTTTAAAAATTTTGTTTAACTTTATAAAAAATGTCTATAGGAATAACATATAAAATATATGCATGTAGTAATGAACTCATTTACAGTAAATTATTTAAAATGCCAGATAAAAATTATAATAGATATTTGAATACTTTATTCCCGTTTTTATTTATTTTTAATACAAGCGCTTCTAGATCACCAATATCATTATATACAATGTTAACATTTTTATAATATCTCCATAATAAGTGTTAACACTCAAAATGCAGATTGAATAATAGAAGTCCCTACCCTTGTTAGACACTTGTGACAGTAAATGAAAGTCAACTGTAAACATTAAAATGCCTAAGTAAATTTTAAGGGAAAATAATTATTTTAATATACATGTAGCTGTATTTGGATCAATCCCGATCAAAATGAAACTGATCGCGATCAAAATTAACACAAAATAAATAAAATAATAATTATCGTCCTCTTTATGTATTTACCTCTAAGAAATCTATTTGATTGTCAACTATTTCCAATTATTATAAAATTCTGATTGGGATCAGTTTAAATTTCGATCGGGATTGGCCAAAATTTAAAAAAAAAATAATTTCTCTAAAATTTGGCATTTTCATTTCTTTTTAAAAAAATGATTGTCTAGCATGTTCATTGTAGCTGTGACTTGTTTTTTGAAATTATTCATAGGTTTCAAAAATATTCGCAAATACTGTGTTTTATTTTCATAAATTATTTTTTTAGAAAAAAAATTAAAATGTCCAGCTTGCCTTGTTTACATATTTTATTAGATATTCATTTTCTGCATTTATTAATAGCAAATTTTTAACTCTAAAACATCTTATTTGCAAATAAAATCTTTTTTTCCATTTTCTATGCTAATATCGGCCTTTTAATGCTGAAACCATAGTTTAAAGGGGATGTCTTAAAGATCTATGAAAAAAATGGTGTGGCATTCCTTCTTAAATTCTTCCATCAGACTTAGAATCAAATGCTTACTTCAAGTGTTTAACAATTTATAAACTTTATCTCTATAATGTTATGTATACAGTACATGTAGATTGAGGAGGGTTCCTACGCGCGACAGAGGCAACTTTGGTACAATTTTTTAAGCCCACAATTTGCTTGGCTTTCTTTCTTTTTTCTTTTTTTCTTTTTTTTTTTTTTGATTGAATGGCTCTATTACCTACGTGAATGATTTTAATTTTCCCAGAAGCTTTTCTAGGACCTGTAATAAGGTGAACATTTACTCAAATTACATTGATAGCCCAACGGTTAATCATTCAACACTGTCCATTCAAAACCGTTTAGTACATGTAGAAATCTATGGTTAGCAGAGTAGAACCCATGCAACAAGTAAAGATTATACATAGTTTTATTAAGAGTACATATTTGAACAAACGCCAAACGAACGTTTATATGCAACGACATGAACAAGATAAAAATTATGAAAATGTAGTAAACTGAAAGCTTACAAGGGAAAAGGATAGTGAATGTCAAACCCTTATTACATACTAGATCAAATAAAGGATATTTATAGACCTCCTCTCTGCATGTGGATAATTTAGGGCATTAGCCGCACATCTATTTTTCATAACGGTACAACAAATAATATCCAACTTAGATTTATCGCCCTTATAATTTTAAATTACATTCATGTTTTTGAAAAATAAACAAATTTGCCGAATCCAATTTAAAGTAAAAAGATCAAGAATAAACATTTTATAATTTCTTTTCTACTAACAGTAAGAATTTTGTCTTTATTCTGGAATAAGTATTTTTTCCATTAATTTCATTGTAAGTAACTTTGAAACATCTCTGTATTATGCATATATATTTTTTTTTCCCACAAGGCCTAATAACAAATGAGTCAGACGGACAAAAAAAATAAAGAGAGAGGGAGATAGTGGAGAGAGAGAGAGGGGAGAGAGAGAATGAGTATGGGGGAGAGAGTGGGAGTAGAGAGAGAGGGGAGGGGGAGAGAGAGTGGGGAGGGAGGGGATGAGAGAGAGAGTGGGGAAAAAGTGAGTGGGAGTGGAGAGAATGAGTGAGAGTGGGGAGAGATTGGGGAGGAGAGTGAGTGTGGGGAGAGAGAGGGAGAAAGAGTGAATGGAGCGAGAGTGGGGGAGAGAGGGAGTGGAGAGAAAGAGGGGAGAGAGTGAGGGGGAGAGAGAACGGGAGTGGAGAGAGAGTGGAGGGGAGAGAGGAGGTGGGAGTGGAGAGAGAGTGGGGAGAGGGAGAGAGAATGAGTGGGGGAGTGAAGAGAGTGAGTGGGGGAGAGAGAATGAGTGGAGGGAGAGAGTGAGTGGGATTTGAGAAAGAGTGGAGAGAGAGATGGTGTGTGAGGAGAGAGTGGGGAGAGAGGGAGAAAGTTAGAGAGAGAGTGGGGAGGAAGAGAGAGGGGAAGGACAGGAGGGAAGGAAGAAAGAGGGGAAGGAGAGGATGGAGAGAGGGGAGAGAAAGTGAGGGGGGAGAAGGAGAGAGAAAGAGAGGGGGGAGAAGGAGAGAGAGAGCATGGGGAGAGAGGATAGAGTGTGTGGAGGGGAGAGAGATGAGGTGTGAAGGGAGAGAAGTGGGGGTGGGAGAGAGAGGCGTGGGGAAGGAGTGGGGAGAGGGAGGGAGAAGGATAGATGATAGTACCGTGTATAGACTTGAGTTAAACACCTCTTTCTTTGTAAAAAGCCTCATTTTGTGAAGGCTTTGTTGACATTAGCAAACAACAAAAGACACTGGTAAAGGTTTTGAGCTAATCACGTTTTGTGCCCCTGATATCGAAGGTCAGAGGCATATTGATTCAGTCCTGTGTGATATTTTTAAGATTTATATATTTCACATATTTAATCTTCCCTATATTTCTATGAGAAGAAGTTTAAGACTTCATTCCACAGGCACTTGTTTCGTTTACGGGGCATCCCTACTTATTTTTACCACAAAGTACCTAATTCAATTTCAGGCACCCCCGCTTCGAGCTCGTTTTTTTATTCATATGTCAATCATTAACCTACTTTAAAATTATATCGTTCGCTTTAAGGAGGGATTCTTCTCTTATTCAACTCATACTTCTTGTATTTAAAAATTAATGAAATTTTCATAGATTTCAAGAAGACAATATCACTAAGTGATGGTATCAATTAGATTAAATTTGACCGTTTTATTTTAGAAACAAGGTCAGGTCAAGGTCATTATCTTTTTCCTTGACATTTAGAGTAAAAAATTACTGTTGCTAATCATGTGATGCCTACTTCTATTTTAAAAGATAAAATGTTTTTCTTTTTGCACGAAAAGATGTTACCATATCGGGTCTATCAGACGATTCTACCAGATTAATTGACATTATTTAACTTAAATAGATATTGGCTAATCCGGATTTCCTCTGTTTTTCTTAATTTTTAGGATATATTAGTTATTTTTATATACTTCTTATATTTAAATATTTCTCATTTTTACATATGGTAAAGTAGTCATTAAAAAATACAAAATGATACAAAAACAAAAAGCTTTGACCGTTTAGTAAGAGAGAAAAAACACTTTTTACTGGTTTTTTGCTCAAATCTGCTTAAAGGTTGGAGGCTTTCAAAAGCTAACAAGATTGTAGTTTGTTTAGAAAATCATTTTTATTTGCTATGTTTTAAAACTTTAGGGCATTATTTATAATTTTAGTTACATATCAAAATTTTTTAAAGTCTTTGAATTTAAAAAATCAACCACATGTAATGTTCTGTAAGCGATTTTGATAGGCAGAAAAGGAGATATTTTCATACGCCGCAGTTGCACCAAAAATATAGTCCCTTATGGATTTCACAATCAGTTTACCATTTCTATTTAAAATTGTACGATTATGATGAGTAAAGAAAAATATGATCTTTTAAATACATTACAGCTAAGTTTATAAGACATACAAGCATATATACTTGGATATTTCGTCTAGTCAGAAACCAGACAAGAATCCCTCCTTAAGAGACTTTTTTCTTGTCAAATAAATCCTTTCAGACGTCTCTGGTCGAGCCTCTTTATTGTAAACCACTCATTCATTCCTCGAAAATTTCCTCCATACATATGAAGACTCTTAGATGGGATACAAATTTCCGGTTGGGGTTATAAATGAAGGATAAAACCAGAGACCTCGGAATGGAATACTCGGAGGTCTCTCGTTTTATCCTACCCCCAACCGGAAGTTGTATCCCATCTAAATAACAATCGCTATTTTTAAAACTAATTGGGAAGAGTTTTCAAACGTTAATCTTTCTAATAACTTATGAAGAAGAAAGAAGACCTTATTTTGGATTTTTGCACATTTAGATAATTAAAACTGTGGAAACTGAAAATTTTTAAGTTATTATTATTAAGGTATTCCATCCCTAATAGCAAAAGATTCAATGAAATTAAATACATATCAGATGTGTAGGTGTTGAATACTCAGTATATTTAGACATAATTCCCATTTATTACTATAAGCATGGAAGGGTGGGATCCGTCCTAATTTATGATCTTGAATTTTGGTAAGAGTTATCTGTTTTTAATTAATAAAAAAAATTAATCTTAAAAACTTATCTGGTAAAAAAACCCCTTTTCAATTGTAATTCTAATTCTAATGTTTAATGCATCTTTCTACCACAATATTTATTGATATTATTATTTGAATTTTTAAAAAATTTCTTGTCCCCATAGACTTCAAAGCAATTTTTGTTAATTAATTACTGCTTAGTAAATTACATTTTTGAAACTCTCTCAGTAAATCCTTTTACTACTATAAAATGCTTTAAATTAATATCAAAGTATTATGTACATGATGAACATTAATTTAAGGATAGAGAATTTGGTACTATTAGGGAAGGAAAACCTCAAACGTGATAAAAGAAATCAAAGAAAGCGCGCATTCTTGTTCTAATAGTCAAAGAACATCATTATAGCCTCGTTATGTTTTCCTTTAGATGGATTAAACCACCTTGTATTATATTTATGTAAAGTATAGTAATACCTTTTAATTTTGTTATTTAAACTTTAAAGCTTTTAGAAATGAACACTTCATACAATAAGACTTTGTGATTTTAATGACCCTTATGTATTTGCCTAACAAAAAATTTCTTTACAAAACCATATTATATCAAAAAATGACAGAGGGTCATTTTTCTACAGTGTCATTTTTCTACAATCCACGCGGAGAAAAATGACACAAAGGCCATAATGTCTACGAAAACGTGGGTCATTTTTCTACGTAGAATATTGACAAGTGGGGGGGGGGGGCAAACTTCTACATAGAAAAATGATCCCCGGTCAATATTCTACGGGGGTCACTTTTCGTCGTTACACCGGGTTCAAATCCCGGACCATAATTTTTTTTTTGATTTTTTTTTTTTGGATTTACTAAATGATAGTATTCAACATGCACATGTGAAATAAAAAAGTTATCATAATGACATAATGATCATTATTACAGTGTGATAAATATTATATATAAATACACATATTAAAGAATAAGAAATCAAATCTTTATATCCATATTGGCATTTTTCCCCTTCAATATATATGTATACATTTAATAATTCTACATTTAATAATTCTACAAATCCCCCCCCCCCCCCCCGAACTGCGCATGCTCTTCTTTTTTCCCTAAGCGGGAGACACAAATTCTATGAATTAGCTTGTTTAAAAGAAGACTCATGCATGCAGACTTCATTTTCATTTAAACTTTAGGACGACTTTAACGTAATCGTTGTTGACTGGGGTTCTGGAGCAACCATGCCATACGAACAAGCAGCAGGTAACGTATATCTTGTTGGAGCAGAAGTGTCCTCCATGTTGAAACATTTACATGACTATGCCCACGTAAACTACGCTGATGTTCACATCATTGGTCATAGTCTTGGTGCCCAGATTGCTGGACTAGCAGCCCATCCACTTACCCGTATCGGGCGGATTACAGGTTTGCCTTTTGATTTATATCTCAATACAAATACCTGTACATTGTATGTATATCAAATAGACTTTATACCTCATATACATTGTGTATACTGTATATCAAATAGATTATTATCCGTTTCTGATCAGAATCTTTTGTACCTCATTGCATCTAATTTTAAACGATCCTCAAGATATATGGTACATTATAATAGTAATATCTTTTCAAAGTGAAACGCACATTGATCTACATTAAATATCACATTTCAAAAAGTATTTTTTCTAGTTGAATGAAATACGTTTCTGGATCCAGCAGACCCTATGTTCTCGGGAAAACCGGTAAGCAGACGACTTGATCCAGATGACGCTATCTTTGTTGACGTCATCCACACGGATGCTACAACCTTCGTATTTACAAAAGGCAAGATATTACGAGGAAACATATCGAGTAGAAGCTACAATAACACGTTTATACCTTGATATCCCCTTGTATTTTTACGTTAGGTTATGGAACACGTGACATTGTTGGAGATGTCGACTTCTTTCCTAACGGTGATGAATATCAACCAGGCTGTCCAGAAAAACCGGCCGGAAGCGCCTTGAGCAGTTTGCTACAGGGTGCATTTGGTATATGCTTTGATGCAACTTGATGGGGGGGGGGGGGCATACAAACGGTCCGATTTAAACAGTCTGGATATCTAATAAGATGATATAATATCACTGAATACATTTCTTTTTGGTGGCGGGGAAGGGAAATTTATGAAAGACAACAAATCATGCTAATGCACATTTCAAGTTTGAATGATTGATTGATTGATTATTGTTGTTTTACGCCGAGTCGGCAATATTTCAGCCATATTTCGGAGGAAAGTTTTGAATGAAGAATGATACCACTCATGTTTGCTTTATTTTTTCAAAGTGGACATAATGAAATTGCAGGGTCTGTAGCAACATCATTGTCATGCAGTCATGGAAGAGCGCATGAATATTTCATCGAATCCATCAATTCACCCTGTAAATTTTATGCTCATCAGTGTGCTTCATTAGCGGATTTCGACAATGGACGGTGCATTGGGTGCCCTGCTGGCGGTTGCACAGTGATGGGATACGACGCAGACGTCTCGTCACCTCATGGCGTCTTTTACCTCAGTACTTCCACCCATTCTCCATATTGTGGTAAGAATACTGAAAAGATTTTGATGTCAGATTTCTGTCTTTTATTATTGTTATACGAAACAAGAGCATTCATTCAACTTCAGGGCATGAGTATGAGATGGAAATAGTCATCTCTCATTCGATGAATGGACACTCTTACGGAGAATTTTTTGTTACTCTCATTGGAACGAAAGGGCAAACCAAAGAACTAAAATTTTCACGGTATGAATCAAAATATTTAACATCCGTGAAAGTGAAAATATGTAAACATGTTTATGGAGGTAATATTTTAATAGTTTTTCATTTTTACAGCCTGATGCAATTTTATTTTACTGATACCACGGAGAAACATATCCTTGTAGCCCACGCAGACATTGGTGACCTTACCGGGGTCAAGGTCAGATTTGTTCGTGGAGACGGGTTGAAGGCTATCGGCTCCGAACACGAAGTGGTGGTTAGATACGTTACTGTACAGTCGGCAGGGAAGCCGGGCGGGTAATGGTCTTGATGATTATGGTGAAGGGTCAATTATAGCTGCAGAACTGTAGCATTATGGTCAAAGACTAAAATGTAAAACCACAAAGATACAGTTCTACAGCTATAGAATAGACATCTTAAAGATATCGTCTGGCGAGATATCGTCAGTAAGTCAACATGGCTGTCGGAAGACAGAAAATTCAAAACAAGTGAATTTATTGGTCTGTATATACGATTATAAAGGGTTAGGAGGTGAATAAAATATACAATTTGGTAATAGATATTGTCTAGAATTAAGGAATGAAAGGTAGTTGATTGAATTAAGGAAAGAAAGGTAGTTGATAATGACGGTTTGAAAGAAAGAAAGTTTAACAAGAAATTAAATTATTCCTTTTCATTTAATCTGAGTTCATGTTTTCAGGAAAATCAGATTTTGTGGACATGATGCACATATACAAGAGAACCACGTGGCAACTCTTCATTCTTCCTCGGGATGTTGAAGACCTGAGATGTTTTCTTATATAATTAAATGATATTTACCTTTGATTTATCTTTGAAGGTTTTTTTTTATTTGTTTATCGTTACATTGAAATACAGTTGTGATTATATACTAGTAGTAAAATAAATATTTGTGTTTTTATCGTACCCCCGCTTGATAAATGTGTGGGGTGGGGGTGGGGTTATATAGTGATGGAGGTGTCCGTCCGTACGTATAATTTTGTTTGCTCAGTGCTCATATAGTATCTCCAATTTTGTTGTATTTATTATTGAGTAAGTTTTTTAAAAATTTTATTATGAATTGTGACAATGTGAATTATTTAAATAATGTTGGTTTCACTGACGATCGCATCCTTGCAATTCCAGGGGTCCTGAGTCAACACGTTGCCGTGGGACCCCTGGCCAATTTCATTCGATATTTTAGGGTTTGATTCTCTCATTGAAATCAAATTAAAGCTTGAAATCATAAAAAGTTAGATAAAGTAAACAGAAAGGATTAAGTTGACACCTCAAATACATTTGAGCTGTTTATCATAGCCATGATAGAATGGCTTAATGTCATTGGTTGAGAGATAAGAAAAACAATCAAGATTTGTAATTCGCTACAGTCAGCCCAAAAACTATTGAATAAAATTGGCCAGGGTGCCACGGCATCGTGTTGATTCAGGACCCCTGGCATTGCGAGGATGTGACGAGAGTGAAATTTGGAATTTACTTGTTTAGTTCCAAACCCGCAAAAATGACTTTATTATAATGATAACGCATAAAAAATGCAAAACAATATACCGTTAAACTTTGGTATCTCGAATATAGATATCTCAAATACCACTGGTATATCGAAGTGAGAAGTCCCAAACAATGTATTCGTTTTCAGTATGCATGTTTACCCCGATATCTCGAATCCCCGGATAAATCAAAGTCGTTGGTCCCCATCAAATTCGAGGTTACTGTAGTTCAAAAATTTATTTCATTGCAATCAAATCCATAGAAATAAATGTGCGCAAATTTACCCAATTTATCTAATTTGAATACATATTTCATTCGGTTTATAAATACGAGTATGAAATATGGAGATAACGAACAGTATTCAAGCTCATAGTCCATTAAAACAATACAAATCGGGACCAGAGCAAACATGGACCTACAAAAACATCAGAGGTGGGATCAGGTGCCATGTAGGAGTGAGCATCCCCTGCCGACCGGTCACACCCGCCGCGTGCTCCTTGTCATGATCAAGAAATAAAGGAAAAATTCCGTCGACAATTCGGTGTGTAAGTCAGTCAGCATATGACTACAAACTACAAACAGACAAAGCTCGAACACAATTCGAGTTCCAAACCAAATTAAAACTTATGGATGAATTAGCAAACATGTTTCAAAATACTTATAAGTCATAGTGGCTCTAAAATTTCGAGGGTTTCGAATTTGAGCTTCTTAAAACATATCAAAGTCATTTCGAGAGAAGAAAATTAAAGCCAATGTTGACCCTTGCCACCATGCATCATAAAATTGAAATCCTTCCCTTCCTCACACACGAAGAAAAAAATCAGCCGAAAAGCCATTGACGTTCCTCATGTAGTACATGCAGATTTTCAGCAGATTGAGCGAAAAATAAAAAAAAAGATCTTTTAAGCCTTTCTTCTTAAATTCATATGCCTTAATGGGCAATAAGATGTCTTGAATTACACATTTGATGTGCACGGTAGACAGGAAAGGAAATGTTGATCAATACACACGACATACACGAATTGAAATATTTTCAACGAACGAGTTAATGAAAAGCGCGGGAAAATTTATCCCCAGAACGCACTTGACTTCCGGTAGCGTGTTTATTATTGCAATGTTTATAAAATTGATGTTCTCATTTGGACTGCAACAAAAGCTTCAAAGAAAGATAAATTGAAAGGAATATCCGGAAATTGCAATTCACAATGTACAAAGTGAGTGTCTTTAACATTTTATTATAAGATATTTCATTTGATGGCATTCGCAGAAGTTGCGGATGTCAGCAATACGATGCTGCAAGTTCCATCGGTATTATTGATAGGAACGTAAGTTTGCAACACTGCATATATATCTTTTATGAAATATGCATGCATGTAAACGGTTTAGTTTCACCAGGGACGTTTACTCTTCCCTGGATTCATTAATTGAGTCACAATGATTAGTTTAGGTTTTATTGTGCCCACCATACTGAAGATTTAACAGGTGGATGAAAAAGAGTAATACATCCTCGGTGGCTTCATTAAAAGGTCACAGCGGTTGGTTCACAGTATTGGTATGACTGTCCATGACACTGGGCGGAAAAAATTTCTATTAGTCTAATTTGTCTGTGTCATAGCATGGATGTATGTGCACAATTAATGAAATTGTGTATTATTTCAAGCTTAATTTCTCAAGATTGTATTATGGTTATCATTTCCTTTCATAAAGAGTAGAGTATACCTGTGCACCTATTCTGTAATAATGAATATTTATAGGAAAATTATTTCTGGATTTGTTGTCATAAAAGAAGTCACTAACCTATTCTCCTTAAAGTACTGTGACCAATTTTTTCCCTTTTAAAGAGCAAGGGCCACTTAGGGCGTTTTTTGGCTCTGTAAATTTCTGAAAAATTAAAACTGCATGGTTTTAGTCGACAAGGTCATAAATATCACTCGAACACTTGGTTACTGAATTTCTAATAAAAATGACGTAATTTTCTTGCTACTCAATGCATTATGACGTCATGAATTGCGTCATTATTCTCATATCCTGTATATTTCTTCAAAAATGGCCAAAATATGATGCTATATTTCAATATTTTGTATACAGCACAACCTCCGATCCAAAACGTGCAAATATATTATGAAAAAACTGCTCATTAAGATTATAAAACATGATTTAATTTTTGGATCGATGGGTGTGCTCATATTTTATTTCTTTGTTGAAGGTTCTCAATTTCACCTGTTTTCTGCAAAATTCAAGAACATTGCAATTTCTCACAACCTGTTTCCAGTATCTGCACTCTTTAGAGGAAACTTTTATATACAAACTGAAAGCGCCAAGTCTCTACTTTATATTGATGTTGAGAAAGGGACATATTGTGTTAGTGGATAAATTGGTTTATATACAGGGCCATTTTATGCATAAAGTGGGCCTAGCTCTTTTTATTTACAAAGTACATGTACTAAACAGAGAACCCCAGAGAACTCTAGAGAACTCAACGTTTATTTAATGAAGTAAATTGAATTTCATGCATAATTGAGTTGATTTTTACTTTAATAATCATATTCTATGTATAAAATCAATAACAAGATCATTTTATTAATGTTTTCCCTAGAAAATAGTTAAAAAACGTAATGAAATAGATGGTGAAATATTCATAAGATCATTTTATCAATGTTTTCCCTTGAAAATAGTTGAAAACGTAATGAAATAGATGGTTAAATATTGTATGTCATCCCTATCTCGATTGAATTTCAAAAATTGTGTTTATTGAAAATAATAATTTTATCGCATAATTTTACTGTTATTGTTCAAATTATTTTTTTAAGTTATCATGAACTCTAAGAAATTTATTCTGGTGTAAAACATATTCATAAAATTCATTTCTTTAATATTATACTTTTATCACAATGTATGTATGATAAAGTCATCAAGGATTTAGTATTCAGTTGAAATTAGACATAAATGTGGCAAAATATCCTTTTTTCAAATTTAACTTTGTTTTTGTGTAATATATTGGTCATTTAAAACATAAATATTTCATTTACAGACAATAAATAATTAAAAATCATTAGGGTTCTCTAAGGTTCTTTAGAGTTCTCTAGGATTCTCTGTTTAGTAGTACCCAGTATGTGTATGTACCACAGTGAAATGTACTTGCAGGATATGAACAGGTTTTCTCAAATGTTGATATTGTAACCTTTAGCTTTCTTTTACTTGCTTCATGATTTCTTTAATGGAATGTCCTCAGTTGAAATTCACAGTATGATTTTCCCCTAATATCTGATTTATATTTAGATAGGTGTTGTAGTATAAAGGACCACTTCTTGAATTAGGTCACTGACATTTACCTTATGTTGGAGATAATGGAGCAAGTCTCCTATGTCCATTTAACTATGGTTGTATATGAGTGATAGCATTTTAAATGGGTGACACAACTCATTATTGTGTTGCACTAAAAGTATTTTTTGTAATTCCTGTTTTGTCCCACATTTTCAATTAAAATCCATTTTTTCAGCTAATATATATTTCAACAGGGTTCCTCTCTTCACTGCAATCAAATACAACTACATAATTCTTGTTTAGTATGACTCTCCTGGCTAATAACATGTACCCACTTTACCCCCAATGTTTTGCCTTCCTATCAGGCTTAGCTGTCAGTACAGCATCATTGTGGTCAGAGTTATTAATGTCAGACTCCAGCTTGTCACATCTACAGCAAAGTGCTGACATAACATGTTATGGTTAACAGAGAGGACATTTAAAAAGTATGCTTTGTTTGTGCTTGTTATTCACAGTTTGATTGCAGCCATTGTAAATTTTATGGGTATGTCTAAAAATTTAATTAAACCATTAGGTCTTAATTATTTGGATTTTGCTACAACACTTTCATGGATATGGAATTTGACATCACTAAAAGTATAAGATTTATTTAGATGTGAAGTAAATGACCTTGCTATGTTCAGGTCGGGATGTTTATTTTAGATGTGTCCCAATCAGACCAGTATGAACTAAAGAAAATTCTCCGCTGAAAGAAAAGGAAACTGATAATTGCATATAAACAAATAATTTTCAAATGAAATTGCTTTGACATGTGTTTGATGGCATTGTTGTCACAGTTGATGATTTATTCAACAAAGAAGAAAATATTACATTTTTTTAGCTCACCTCTACAAAGTCGAGATGAGCTTATGCTATACCGTCGGTGTCAGCGTCGGCGTTAGCGTCGGCGTCCCAGGTTAAAGTTTTAGGAGCAAGTCCCATTCCCAAGTAACTATAAGCCCTACCTGGACCAAACTTGCATGGAT